AAATTAAACCTCAACCAAAAGTGAGGTCAACAACATGCTTCCAATTTGATAATTGTTGACTATAATGTCATTGTAGGAGTTTCTATTCGATGGTAGGTATATTTTAGTAAACGAGATGGGAGGACGTGGGTTGCATCATGGTGCCAAGGCAGCTACACAAAATTCACCCGTATGAGGCCTCTTCAAACTAGTTTGGTAGGATGGTTCTCCTTCATCCCCTCCAAAGATGGTAGAAACCATACCAGTTATGTGTATTACGTGGGCTCGAACTAATACATTTGTAATTTCTTCATTAAGAGCTTTCTCTGTCATTGGGTATTTGCTCTATGCACTATAAACTCCTTCAACATCCCAACTTTGATCAAATTCTAAATCAGTCTCTAGAAGCACTGACACTCCTCAGTATCATGAAAATGATTAGTATGGTATGTGCAATACTTTTACGGGTCATGGAGATACACTACACTTTCATCGAGATCTTCTTATAGAAATAATTTATGTTTGTATAGCCTCCACTATCTCGACCATTAAGACTCTTGTAGGGGTCTCCTTGGCTCCTCATATCAAGCTGGCTTATTCACTGTATCAAGCTTGATTTTCTTGGTAATAGAATCAATATATTGCCCGTTGTTCAAATGACTTTATAAATCCTTAAATTGAGCTTGAGGAGGTGTGCGAGGATTGTGTCTTGGCTTCTACCCTTCTTCATGGGCAATTCTTTTTAATGATTAATAATTGGTTTGCTCTATTTTAAATAAAGTAGGGAAGAGTTATACTCTTCAATCTACATGTGGTTGTTGGCTAGCTTCGACAAATTGGTTAGAGACATCAATTTTTGCAATCCTAGCATGTAACAAAAGTGCCATTCTTTTAACTTTTGTATGAAAAATACAAGAGTAGTCGTGGCTTGTAAATCCCAAACTCTAACATTTTCTTCTGGAAACATATGACAAAGGCATGTAGGATCCTACTCCATCCCTAACAAAGTTGTAGGAGGGCATGAGAGCTCATTCGAGGTTTTTGAACACTAGCAAAATTTTCCACGATTTTTTCTTGAAATCTACGATTAATGTGACTACTGCTGTCAGTAATCTATTAAACTACTTGAGGGTTGAGTCCCTCAGTGTGGTGAAGAAGAGTCAGTACGTGAGCGCAAAATTGATCTTGAAAAGACAAAGTTGACTCAAGGAATGTGATATGGTTAGCTAGGTTCGTCCGTTCCATATAACATTCAAGTGTTATAATCTTGAATTGTTTTGTTGGCTCGACATTGGAGATCTATTGGGAGAATACATTCTTTGGCTAGTGTAGCATATCAGTACACCTAATCTCATGCCTATTGATCTGTACTGACCCAATATTGCAAGATACTGGATTCAACCTCCCTTTCCAAGGCTGGGGTAACTCGTCTATCGTTAGGTGCCGATAAATCTTATTGTGTTTGATGATCATGCTTTCGATTTAGTGCACCTCTGATCATTTCTAACATTTAATCTTTCATATCTTGGATTTGCTAGACCATGAATTCCCTGGTGCACTCTATGTTATTGTCAGTCTCCCTGTGTGGGGTCGTTCTCTCTGCTCTTCTTCTTTTTAGTGGTATGATCCATGCTCACCACACCTTTTAGGATATTGAATCTGAGATTGTTTGTAAATAACACTCAATGAATAAAACATGAATGCGGAAATAGAGAGAGAGAGAGAGATGAATAACAATGAATGGTGCTCAATAGTTCCATTTTTCATAAAATATTTCCCTTATTTATAGAGGGGATAATATAATGGCGATATTATATTCTTAGCCCCTTTTGGAAGAAATTTGTGCTAGGGTATTTCTGGTATGTTACAAGTGTGGACTTATCGCCCGACTACCCTCTGACTTTATTTTCTAGGCTTGGTTGATAAGAGTTCAATCGGTTGATCCAACCTTATGGAACATCTTTGATCTCTAGCAATGAATCTTCATGTCTTCACGAAATGGTTGGATATACTTAGCAAAATTGGCTCTCTTGTCTGGTCAGCTCCACTACGGGATAGGCTATTGTGTTGAGTTGGCTTTTTTAGCGGTGGATGACTTAGATGCTCCTTTTCTATGTTTCTGACCGATTGCTAATCTTGGATCACCCGACCATCTTCACGTCCATCTTGTGGCTCGATTGGTTTTAGCCTAGTTGGCTTGGCATGTTCGATCGAGTGGGCCTGACAATCTCCTCACAATATTCCTTCATCTGTCATACTCTCCTCTTCTAGTTTTCTGGCATGATCTACACTCACTACACCTTTTAAAATGATGAATTCAATATTTTTTGTGAATCACACTCAAATAATAGATCGTCAATGGGGGGGAGAAAGAGAGAGATAGAGGGATCAACAACAATGAATAGTGTTCAATATTTTCCATTCTTAATAAATATTTCCCCTATTTATAGAGACGATAATATAATGGTGATATTACATTTGTACTCACGTTTGAAAGGGGTCTGTGCTAGGGTATTTCTAGTATTTAATAATTGCGGACCTATCGCTCGACTGTTTTCTGGCTCAACTGGTTAAGCTTTATTGATCAGATCAATTGGGTCGGCTCATTCGACTGAATTTGGTCAAAAGAGTTTGGTCGATTGATCCAGCGAAGTAGACAATCTTTGATTCCTAATGAAGAGTCTTTAGGTCTTCACTGGATGGTTGGAGATACTTTGCAAAACTGAATCTTCTATCGGGTCGGGTCCACCGTGGGATTAACTATTAAGTCGAGTTGACTTTTCTCTAACAGATGATTCAGATGCTCTCTTGGCTTTTTTATGACTGAATTGCTTACTCTTGGATCCCCGATTGTCTTCTTGTCACCAGGTGGCTCAATCGGTTTTGGCCTAATTTGCTTTGCTCGTTCGACCGAGTAGATGTCACGATCTCCTGATACTCTACTCTCATCTTCTGAACCGTTTGATCACTTTAAGATTAGTGTACACCTCTATGATGTACAATTAGTAATTTTTTATATCATCATGTGATTTTAAAAATTTAACTATCATAGAACTATTTATATACATACAACATATTTCTTATGTATTTATATATGTAACATCTAAATTTTTATCATTATTTAAGTATCTCATCAATCATTAATATCACATCCAAAATATCATTATTATTTATTTTTAAAATAAAAATATGTATATTATTTATTCAAAGTCTTCTAGTATCAAAACTTTATAAATATAAATTGAAAATTTAAATGGTAGATATATAAATATATAAAAATTGTGTGTAATTTATGTAAAATTTAAACAAATAAACTGTGTGGTATGTATGGCAATCTGGATTGCCTGGGTTAGGGTTTAAGGGGGAGAAAAATTTGCATACGTAAGATGTTTGGAGAGCTGTGTACATCAGAGGTTATTCAGAGGGTATTTGAGGTTATATCTGCGTTATACCCTCCTGTCACATCTCTGTAACCTACCTATAATCCACCAATACCCTCTAAATAAACTTTAACATAAACAGCTCTTCAAACATCTTAAGTACGTTTCTCCTGGCCTGACATTCATCGTAAAAAGTTGCAGGTAAACCCTGCAAACTGGGCAATGCCCAAACTGTTTCTAGAAAGAAAAGACATGCTAAAACGTGCATAACACATACGAATGGGTTCCGTGCGTTCACTCCGCGGCCTCTTGAGCTACTCTCAACCCCGCCTCGTTCGATCGATCTCCTACACTCCTCGTTTGGAAAGCCTCGGATGGGTCGACAAGATCAAAGGCGTTTTCACCGGCAAAAAGCCCTCCGGCGATTCCTCCGCCCCCTCCTTCTCCCTTACTGGTGAACCCTGCTCTCTTCCAAATTTGAATTTCTTCTGTTTTTATGGCTTTGTTTCTTTCGAAGCTTGTCAGCTTTACTATTGCCTTCCCAGACTTTGCTGATCAGATGGAGAACGCACGGGGCACGGGATTGTTGAAAAAGTTCGAGGTAGGTCGGTGCAGTGAGGCCACCATGGCCGAAGCCTTCAAGAAGCAGTCCTCCATTCTCCGCTACCTTGGCAGCATCGATCCCACCGGAGAGGTCAGTTCGGAAAGTTGTGTATTCTTTATTTTCATTTATAGCTTAAAAGAAATTCAAAAAGAAATGCTTAGGGCTTTTCATCGGTTTTTGAGCTCAATCAGTATGTTGGTTAAAGTTGATTATGTTTGATCAGATGTTTCTGGATGCAGTGTATTTTTGGAACCTACATTGTTTTGCCGAAGTGCATTTGGAGTGTTGGATGCTTGTCTGAACTCCATGGTCTGTTACCTCTGATTTTATTTGATTATGTTATGGCTTGATATTAAATCGATGTAACAAATAATGAAATAAATAAAAGAAAGAACACATAAATTTTAGGTGAAAAATCAAAGATTGGAAAAATTCACGGGTAGAAGAGGAGAATTTACTATATCAAATATGAGATAATAAGAGGAGAGTATCTTGCAAAAATTTAAAAAATAGGTATTTATAGTTTTAGTAATACCCCTTTGAAGGAAATAATTAAATGAGAGCTAATAATTACACATGAATTGCAATTTAAATGCTATTATAAGTTTTATATAACAATCAAAACCTTCAATTCGTGCGCTTAGAGTTTTATTCTGAAGCCGCAATCCATGTGGTCATATTTTCTTATGAAAGGAAGTAGAACTTTCTCCATCTCTTCCACAAAGCTCTAATGATCATAAATAAATACCAACCAAGTCTAAGAAATACTCAAACTTGGCTATTAGAAGTGCTTTAGTTATCATATCTGCAAGATTAGCATGGGTACTGATCTTGTTCACAACAATATCACCATGAGTGATAATTTAACGAATGAAGTGATAAAGAATATAAATGTGCTTAGTTTTCTCATGAAATATTTGATCTTTGCTAAGATAAATAACACTTCGACTATCATACATTAGTGTGGTTATTTTCAAATCTTTACTAAGCTTTTCAAATAGGCCTTTCAACTAGAGTGCTTTTTTGCAAGCTTCAGTAATTGCCATATACTTAGCTTCAGTTGTAGATAGAGTCATTGTTATCTGTAAAATAACATTCTAGCTAATTGCACAACCATCAATGGTAAACACGTATCCTGTAAGTGATCTCCTTCTATCAAGGTCTCCAGCAAAATTTGAATCAACATAGCCAATGACTCTATCTATAGTCCTCTCAAACTGCAAACAAACATCTTTTGTTCCACATAGATACTTGAGGATCCATTGAACTGCTTTCTAATGTTCTTTACCCAGATTATTCATATTTCTACCAATTGCATTGACTGTATATAATAAATCTTCACAAGAGCATACCATATCATACATGAGAGATCCCACTATATTGAAATACGGAACTCGAGATATAATCTTATCATCAGATTGTGAGCACAAAGCCGATGAAAGTCTGAAATGCACAATTAATGGAGTACTAATAGGCTTGACATTTTTCATATTAAATCTATTCAATAATTGTACCATTTCTGACTTAGAAATAATTTACTTGCATTTCTATCTCTATGAATCTTCATGCAAAACATTTTCTTTGTAGCTCCCAAATCTTTCATTTCAAACTCATTGTTAAGTTGAGCTTTTAACGTCTTGATATCTTCTTATCCTTAGCAGCTATCAACAAATCATTGACATATAAGAGCAAATAGATAAATGATTCATTATTATTTATTGAAGTAAACATAACTATCATAACTACCTTTTTTAAACTTATTAGCGATCATGAATAAGTCAAACTTCTTACACTATTACCTAGGAGACTGTTGCAAACTATAAAGAAATTTCTTCAACAAACAAACATAATTCTCTTTTTTTGTAGCCATGAAACACTCAGGCTGCTGCATATAAATGCCATTTTCAAGCTCTCCATGCAAAATTACAGTCTTTACATCTAACTGTTGAAGCTCATGAATTTGATTGAATCCCTTTTCAACAAGTTTAGTCTTATATCGAACGTCTTCAACTCCTGGTGTATCTTTTTATTCTTAAACACCCATTTGCAGCGAATAGCTTTCTTTCCTTGAGGTAATTTTACTAAATCTTAAGTTCTATTTTTATGTAGGGATGCAACCTTTTCTTGCCTAGCGATCATCCACTCATGAATTTCAATTAAATTCACAACTTGTTTATACCTAGAAGATTCTTTACCACACTCAATACCTTCAACTACATTTATAATAAGCAGCCAAATTGGTCTCAACATATCTTTGAGGCGGCTAAATTTTTCTTCTTGTTCTATTCTTGATAATAGAATACTGCAATCATTATTGTTATGATGGTGGGAAAACAACGTTATCATGATTATTTAATTTTGACTCCGAAGTTATGTCCGAGGTTGTACCTGTACCAATCTGAAGCCCCACTTGTCTGTTAGACATTTATTTATGTTCATTTTTAGATTCTCTAATAGATGTTATATGTAACATGACAAACTCATCAGATATAATATTTCTACTAATAATCACTTTCTTGGTTTCTCGGCACCACAACTTATAATCTTTACCTCCAATTTTATAACCAAGAAATACACATTTTATAGATCTATTTTCTAATTTACCATTATTTAATATGAGCATAAGAGAGACAATAAAAAATTCTTAAATTAGAGTAATTTGTAGGTTTATGTGATCCAATCTCTTGTGGAGTTTTCTTGTCAATAGCAATGGAATGAGAGCGATTCACCAAGTAACAAGCTGTAGAAGCAGCTTCAACTTAAAATGACTTAGGTCGCTTGACATTGAAGAGTATGCGATGAACCTTATCCATTAAAGTCCTGTTTATTCGCTCTGCCGTACCATTTTGCTGAGGTGTGTCTCGAATTATGAAGCCTCACATAATTTCTTATTTGCAAAAGATATTAAATTCTCCTAAACAGAACTCAAACCACTATCAGTATGAAGACGTTTGATCTGCTTTCCAATTAGCTTTATGATGATGATATTTCATTCCTTAAATGTAGTAAAAACATTGCTCTTTTTCTTTAAGAAGACCACCCAAGCTTTTATGGAGAAATAAACAATGAACGTCAGTATATATATTACTCCTTCAGATAGTACCGTAGAGGTCCCCAAAGGTCAGAATGTATGTAGTATAATTGCCCATTAGTATTGTGAATACTAATATTGAACTTAACTCTTTTTTATTTTAAAATACATAATGATCACAAAATTTCAATTTAGTGATACTTTGACCATTTAGAAGTCCCCTTCTACTTAATTAATTCATCTCATTCTCACGCATATGTTTGTTGACCTCATTTTTGAGGTTATTTATTTTTCCTTAAGGTCTTAGGATCTAGCTCTAGGTGTTCCTATTGATCGTCTTAGAAAACTAGAATTGGGACCCACCCTTTTAGAAATTTTAGCCACTTCTTATTTTCCTTTGATGTCTAGCATCTTTAGCACAAGACCATCGTCTTATGAACGAGCGGTTATGGGTTATTTTTGCGAAGACTCAAGGGAAAAGTTCCTGATAGGACTTCAAGCAACATCGTCACGACTTTTTCGTCACATACACACACCAAATGCACAAAGTTCACGAAATTGCACGAAATCGGACTTCAATTAAGCCTAAAAGACGGGTGAAAATGCGAATTTCTTCGGATGACCTCCGAAGACAAATTGGACTGCGCCAACGCGTCCGGGATACCAATTTTGGTAGGAAAGGACACCCATATTGTCATGTTTTCGACACGAGAAAATTGACACGCAAATCGGTGAATTCGTCGAAGCGACCTCTGACGGCGAAATGAACTGCACCGGAGCGTCCGGAATGTCGAAATTACCTAAGGAGGACACCCATTTTTTTTTGCTAGGGCGCCGCACATGGATAAATCACATGAAATTTGATATATATATATATATATATATATAATTCTTTTTTTTCTAAACCTAAATCCCTAAACTGCGTCGATCGAGCCTCCCTTCCTCTCCGATCGCGAACCCTAGCCGAATCGACCGAAGAGCCCTCCTCCTCGCGAAGCTTCGGCCGAGGTCCCCTCCTCGTACGTCTGTCGCCCTGCGAAAGTTTCTCGCCGTGCCACGCTCCTCTGCGACAAAGCTTCGCCTCTGTCGTCACCTCCTCACGCAAGTTTTGTCGCCTCTCTTAGCTCGGCTCACCGCCCAGGTGAGCGATGTTCTTCCTCCTCCCTCTCTTGCTATAAAAACCCCATTTCGGGGAGTTCTTAGGGCTGACCGAAAATTGAAAGGAAGTGGGAGGTGCTGCCATTTTTGTGTCTCGTCTGTTCATTTTATGTGTGTGTATTTGAGGCGTTGAGAAGGTTTTGCCTTCTCTTGGACAAAGCTTGGAGGAGTGGTAGCCGAAAAAAGATTTTTGAGACGGGATAGGTGCTGCAAAAAAAAAAAAAAAAAAAAAAAAAAAAAACGGATTTTTTTTTTGTGGG